CCTCCCTGCCTAGAAGATCCTAAAGACATGGCTTGCGGTAAAAGGGCATTAAAAATTTAAACAGACAAGGAAAGGAAAGCCACAGCAAGCTGTTTCTTCAGGACTGTTGTTAACTAGCTTGTAGTTGACACTACTCTATAGACCTTGACTTGAAAAAGTAACTAACCAAGCATACAGTCAGATATTATAGTGATGTGTGCAGCTGCAAAAATCTGAGATGAAACTCTGAATTCACACATTGTAAAGAATGAAGATTGTTTTAACGGATAACTTCTTTGCTACGCCCCAAGGCTTTTTAAAACAAGACGAGACCACTAAAAGAAACTCGTTTGACCTCTGGTGAAGCCTGAATAAAACTTGGTCCAATAATTTCTGCCCCAGGTCTGCACGACCATTTGACTGAACGAGTACATAATTTGGAGGGTGGGAGGAGGGAGATATTTTTGACCTTAGGTTAAAGACTGAGCAATGGAAAATCCATTATCTTAGTAGCTAAATCATTCCGATCGCAAACCACCGGGTACAAAAACGAGCACTTCTTTTGAATTAAGGTTTGCAAGTTTCAGATTGTACTTAGCAATGGTGCTTCTCAGCTGTGGGTGGAGCTTAATGGAAAGTGAATTATTTTCTCCCTTTGAAGTTTACCAATACTCTAACTTCAGCCCTTTGGGACTACTTTTCTACTGAGACTTTTACATACACCCCAAGAATCCAAGACTACTGACTGCCAGCAGAGTACATTTTGATCCCTTGGGAGTCCTAGCTATCCTCATGATTTAAACGGAGGACATCCATGGTGCCAAACCAAACATCATACTGGTTCTTGCTTTACTTTGGATCCAAACGTATCAAGACACACGATTCTGAAAGAGAAGGAAAGGAAGGTAGGGGAGCGCACAGACATAGTCTCTCCATGAACTGCCCATATAGCAAAGGACCTTTCTTCCTTCAAATGCTTATGCCCTTGTACCTCCCTTTCTGGTAGACTACAGAGCCATACTAGTGCTCCGAGGCACTAACAGACACCAGTACTAACAGAGTTAGTTTCACTAGCAGACACCAGTACTAACAGAGTTAGTTTTTCCAGGCTCTGATAACATACTACACTACGAATTAAGTCTTTTATTACTACTTGCAAATACCATTTAAAGAACAATTTCTTAAAGAAGGCCTCAGTTAAATAAAACTGATAGCTGCCAAGACCCGGGCGGCTAGGTCGGAAGAGGTTTGGGCCTTACCCACCCTGAGTATCAAACTACCAAGACAGATCGGGACTTTCTGTGACACATGAAAAAAAATCAGCAGGATTGTATTCATTTGGCACATAGCTGAGACAGTGTGCCAATGCGTCCTCCAGTCCTGCTCTAACTCATGTCTCATCACTGTGGAACGTGCATGGATAACAGACACATCTCTGCACTGTATCCACACAGCCATAGTCATAATGGCATAATAAGTCTTAGAATAAAATTGAGGAACAAAACTGGGGCAGACAAAGGAGAGGTGTAAAAGAATGAAGATCTCTCTCTATTGCTTGTAGATGCTCCAACATACAAAGTAATGATAAAAACTATTTATTATAAATACATGTATGAATTATATAAGCCAAAGACTAGGAAGAGGTAGGCCAGCTACCAAAATCATCATTTGGTCTGAGATTACAAGTGCATCCTGCATAATCCTATATATCTATGTGTGTGTATGTGTGTGTGTGTGTATATATACACATATATTTACACATAAATATATACATATGCATTTACGTAGGACTCGAAGGTCATGGCTAGCAAAAACCCAGGCGTGAGTGACTGGAATGCATGCACATCCACAGGATAATGCAAGCAGGAATAAGCACTCAACGAAGAAAGAAAACAAACTTCACTCGGTGAATCCACTTTGTATTCTCCCCACACTGCACCGAGAAACAGACACTGTAGTATTCTGGAATGCATTCACGACATCCTCGTTTACTGCAAAAGGCACTGAATCTATGTAGATTTATACCTGCTCCTATTGCCACAAGAGGAGTGACTAATCAGACAAAGCAGGTCAGGTCAAAAGCTGTCAGGGAAAAACAGCTTGTTACTGAATACAATCTGCCTTTTCAGTCAGAAAAACTATTTTATTATTTAATAATTATGCTCTCTATCTTTGTCTTCAACCATATCTGTACTGAACAGGGGCAACATAGTCCTCCCGGTAAATGCAGGAATAGGAGACAAGCAAGCACACATACAGTAGGCCACAAAGAGGTGACCGCATACAACAAATAAACACCACATAAAAGCTGCACAGCACTGCAGCTTCTAGAGGAGCTACAGAGGTACGGCAATTCGCATCAGTCAGGGGCATGCGAGTTGTCAAGGTTGGAGAAGGAGGGAGGGATTCGAGCTAACGAAAGCAAAGCTCTCACGGCTCCCACTATGAAAAAAGGGACTGCTAAAAATGAGTTTCAGCGCTCCGATACACATTGCACTTGGGCAGGAAGAGAATTGGGCTTAACGTACTTACAATGGTGTTTGCTTTTGAAAATAAATCCAATTTTAAACTAGCTAAAAAATTAGGTGTTATAGAGAAAAACAGAGCAGCAAAGTGTAAGACCTATTCAGCAGCTTTACAGTATCATCCGTAGACTCTTCAGTATAACAATGGATAATGTACTCCCGTTTATTAGTTCACATTAGGAAAACTTTGGCTTTCAGGGTTTTTTTTCTGGATTCCATTGTTTGTGTATGACTACATAGTCTACCCAATGCGACCTTTTTTCAAAAAGGAAAGTCTTAGGCTCTTGAACATATAAACAGTCCATTCCAATCCTCTACAGTCAAGACGTAGGTAGGTCTGATGAAGACACTTGTGGTTTCGAGTTAGTGCCAAGTCTTGTTCTCAGTTTCACTTTTGGCAGCACCACGCTTTTTCAAGTCAATGAGGTTGCCACGCTGTGACTACTAAGAGGGCGCATATGAAAAATATAGGACCTAATCGCTTGTTTCCTTAGCCAGCTGATCCATGTTTTCACCTTGCTATCTGTTTCAGGAGCATAGCTTTCCCTTACATAGAATCCGATGACGAAGGATTATTTCTTACCTAATTCAGTTCAAGACCTTCTCGCAGCAGCACAAACACATGGGTTTACCTCTCCCCTTGTCAATAGGGCAAGACAGGAAAACAAGCTGGCAACAGAGCTGAAGGGCTTGTCAGCTGATTCCACTCCAGTATTTAACCAAGCACTATTAAGAACCATATTCATCAAGCTGGCATATACTGAGCTAACTCTACTAGAGTTAATACAGTTTATCCCGATGTCCCCAGTAGCTTTGATCAGCAGCTTTTTAAGACACTACGGACTTCGTGCAAAATAAAGGATCCTCAGCACAAAAGTCTTGAAGAATCTGGGTTGGTACAGAAAGACCTGGAGAAACAAAAGTCTGAGAAATTATGCCAGCTGATGGATATGCCAAGCTGGAAGCTATCAGTACAAACAATAAATAAAGATAGATGCATCCTCCAGAGCTGTCAAGGAAAACTGGCATGTGGCTCCAGCATTTTCAAATGAAAACAAGAACAGAAATAAACGGAGGAAAGGCAACACATAGTATTACCTGTTAACTCTTCTAGGGCATTTTTCTGGCTTTATATCCAACTCATAATGGTAGATATCTATTTTAGGAATGTCCATTTCAAAGAAGTTGGCCTGCAGTTTGATTGTTCTCCCAGAAGTACCAAAATCTGGTCGAGGAGGGGGTTTGAAGGCATATCCCTGTATTGGTGGTGGCAACGGTGGAGGAGGGGCAAGCACTGAAAAAAGAAAAGCACAGGTTAGCAATACGGTTTTACTATATTGTACATATACACTATAATATACATACACACACACACACACACACTATATAACAGTGCATTAAATTGACAGCCAAACTTCACCAGTGAAGTAGAGCACATTTAAACTTGTACATCTTTTTAACAACCTTAAAACTGAAAAAAACAACAACAGAACGTTATCAGGAGTCTGCAAGTTTGACCCCTCCTCTTCCCATGCTGGCTGACTAGTTGCTATACCTCCTAGCCCTTATTGCTAAGGGAAACCTTAAAATCAGTTGCATTTTCCTGTACCACAAATAAGCTGGATGGGAATTTGAGAGGCTAAACAGGCATTGCTGGAAAAGTGAGAACTGGAGCCTTACCTTACGCGCTATGAGGAAGAATCTCCGTTTCAAAGCAGATGCCAAAGCCAATCACCTAACCATGTTAAGTTGAGCAAGCATCTATAAAGTGGAGTTTTTACCACTTAAAACACCTCTGGGATCACATTTGAATGAGTTGTAGGTATGTAAATGCAAAGCAAATGCCACGTGCACATTCTAGCTATATGTATTCTGCTCTATACGTAGCCTGTTTAAGATGGGAATATAACACACGAATCATTCCTGCCTGCTACTATATCCTTTAAATAGAAAGCAAATAGAATTAATGGTTTACTCCTGCTGTACTGTACTATTGAGCTCAAACGGTAGCTGGCTGATACAGATCACACAATGTGAAGTAGGAGTGCAATAGTGGCTTATGGTTGTTTTAATCTAGGAAAAATCATTAAAAATCCACTGAAAAGTGGGTAAGGTAGCAACCTGAGTATTGAAAACTCCTGGAACATCAGTACCCAGGCTTTCCGGATGGATATTTCATGTGGTACTGGACAAAAAACACTGGCAGGGAAACATGCACGTGTGTGAAACGGCCCAGGAGGCTTCTCTTACATACTACTTATGTAAGAACACAGGTGTGGTTTCCTTGGTTTATCAGCTTCAGACCTCTGCTAGCACCAGAAACAATATACATCTGTTCGTTAACAAAACAATTGCCACTCTTCCACCCTTGCTTTCCTCATGTGGCAGTTGTCCCAAATCTTAAAGGCTCTAACATTCAGAAACATCCTTCCGTTTTTCAACCTAATTTTTTTCATGATCAGGTTATACTCACTGGCCTCTGGATTAAGTATTCTTTACTGTATTCTTAGATTTAAATCAAATTCCCATTGAACTCTGGTTGCTAGGCTATACATCTTCTGTTAGTCTCCTCTCATAAAAGAGGCTTCATCCTTCTTCTCATCCTTCCAGCAGCTTTTCGAACTACTGCATTTTCAGGTCACCCTTCTGCACCAAGAGTGACTTAGGCTTTACTCTGCCTAAGGTCTCATTAGGCTCTGGCACAAGTGCTCTAAAGCTTTCACCTCTCCATCGGAAATGGCCTGTTAATGAACCCCAAACTGCATTTGCCCATTTTACTACTGCCTTACAATGGCAGTTCTCAGCCACCCAGTGATCAATCAAAAGGTGCGTGTCCCTCCCAGTTGCTTATGACTGACCACCTTCCCGTTTACTGGAAGGTAATTCTATTAACTCCTGGCTATACGATCTTACACGTTATATTAGTTCTTATATATAGTTATCATACGCTAGATTAGTTCAACCTATATCAGTTACTCCTTTCTGTATGGTACTCAGGTCCTCCTTTCCCGCTCCTCTGCGGCATGACAAAATGCCATCTACTTATTCCTAACGTTTCTGTAAAAGCCATCAATGAAATAATAAACAAGAGCACTCCCAAACTTCATTAACGTCATTTCTCCCACTTTCCCCCTCAACACTACCCACTGCCAGTTTCCCTGATCAGCACCTCTTTACTTGTTTTTCCCAGTTCTACCAACCTGACTTTCAGTAGCAATCTCCCAGTTATCAGATGCTTTTATCAAAATTCAGAGAGCTTGGTTTGACATGAGGAATGTGACATGGCTTTTTGCACAGGCTTTTTAATAGGATAAACGATTTTTTGGCTATAATTTCTTGGCTAATATTTGGGAAGCTTGTTCCAGGTCTTGTCTTCCAAATATATTCCAAGCTACACCCCCTTTTGATGTACAGACACTCAATTCGCTTTTCTTCCTCCCTTTCCTAAGTATGGGCAATGACATTTGTGCTTCTCTAACACCAATTTGGATTTGTTAAAAATGCTTGCTACTAAAAACTTGCATTTTCATTACCTGAAATTTCAGGATTCTGTGCTAAAAGACTATTCTGTCTCCCTAGTTTAAGTACTCCTTCAGTTTTCCTTTCAGTGCAAATGCAGCAATTCTCATTAAAATACTCTTCTTTCTGTGCATCCATCCTGCCTTTGCACTGTCAGCACCTTTATCGAGAAATGAAGTATTTTCTTAGTTTCCACACGACAGCTACAGAGTCTTTTGTCTCTAACCCAGTCCTCACTGCAGGAAGCCCATCCGCCCTGCCGTCTCTCCTGTTATATTTACACGCCTGCAGAAAGTTAAAATACTTTGCTCACTCTAATTCCACTCTGCCTTTGGTAATTTCCCTTTTATTCCTGCACTTCTTGACTTCTGAGACAGATTTCTTCACTGATCTGTCATTTTTTCCTAATCCTTGTAGGATCCCCACTTCTTTCAAATGTTTTTCTTCGGGATATTAACTCAGCCTCTGCAATCCCTTTCCCCCCTTGCTTGGTATTACAAATTCCAAAAGCATCTGCATCTTTAATTGGAAGGAGTCAGCTATTACGGATATGATAGCTAACCGATTTATTTATAGCCTTTATTCTACAGCTGGAAAGTACCACAGAATCTATTCCCAGCAATATTTATACTTGTAATGTTACAAAGGTTTCTATCACCCGTATCCAAATCAGACCCTAGGAACGTGCAGCAGGCACGTTCGGCTCTACTCCAACAATCTCAATTTCCATTTTTTCCCCAAAGAAACGTTGACATCCACCAACTGTTTCATCCATTCTATTGCTTAGTTCTTTACAGCTCATCACTGCATTAACACACTTATTTCTATGTCCTTCTTTCGATAACAGAAAACTCCCGTTAACAACGGCATTCAAGTCATGAATGTTATTCTGTGATTTTTTTTGCGTTCGTTCCCTAAGATTTCCGTAGCACCACCCATTTTCTGTCCAGACTCCTGCCATTTGTTTTTGACCATTTCCATTTCTTGCTAATGACAATCTGTATTCTAGCTGTGTTAGGTATTGCCTTACCACTATTACCTGTTTAATTATCATCTCATCAGTATTAAGCATTTCCCTTCTCTTTGATGACTATTTTTACGCCCGTAGCTGCTGCCACATCTTAATTTCCCTGTCCTCTCTTCTTCAGTCGTGACTACATCGTGACTAATTTTCAAAAACACTAAAAAAAAAAAAAAACAACGAACTTGTAACATTTAGAAGTACAAAGATGGGTTACAACTGGAAATACTCTAAACTAAATGTGCTTAGAATCATTTGGGAATACTCCCCATAAGCGACATATGCTGCAAAATTAAGGGATTTTGGAGAGGAGGTATTATCAAGTTACATCTTGCTATGAAAACGGGGTGGTTTAGTACTTCACAGGAACGCACGGAAGATGCAAACGTTCAAGGATCAAAACCAGTCACACGTTGCTCAAAAACATTGCAACGCTCTTCTACTGGAGTTTTAGTGACAAAACTGAGGGCATACATTCGGTTACGAAAACAAAACAAAAACCTGAGAGAAGCAAAGACTCCTGGGGAAAACAGGCGACCACACAGTTCTGTAATACACGCGTGAGATGGAGAAGAACAGAACCAAGCTGTTCAGAAAGTAAAACTACTACCACCGTGTATTTTGATTTTAAATACCCCTTTAAAATGATGCATTTTCTACGATCCAATACAAATGGAAGCTATTTCTGGCTCAACTCACTAGACAGAAACTTATTTAGGGCAGGGTGTTGCTTGAATGAGATAAGTACTGTTTATTAAACAGCAGTACTGACCTGATAAGAAGCTAAGCTGTATTTTTGCCGCTTAAAACAGATACGTATGCGTTAGCTATAGGACCAAGCGATGTGAATTTAACTTCGGAACGCAACCGTCGATCCGAGTTCACCTTTCGGACCGCTGCCTCAAATTAAGAACATAAAAATCAAGCGCTCTCGTGTAAAACGTATTTCAGCAACTACTTGTGGCATTTCCAAAGTCAAGGAATACTGACTTCTTCTTTGACTGGTTAACTGCACTGACAGACAGGTCTACAGAGGATACAGCCTTATTAATCATTTCTATCGAAGTAGAAACCTTAGCCTTAATCAATAAAACACAGTTGCTGTGTTCAAGCCGATTCAGAAATCTAGCCGCGCTGATACAACTCCCTGTTTAAATACTCTTGTGTAATTCCCCTCGCTCTTCCTCTTTAAAGTGTTACAGAAGCTATAGCGATGTGAGAAGCTTTTTGTAGCAGAAAGGTTCCTACCTGGGGGGTTTCGCAGTGTGACGGGATGTCTGTTACCGAGGATGTAGCTGAACAGCGATGTTCAAAGTCGCGCTCTGCCCAGCGAACCCCACCAGAATTCACCTCCCTAAACCCAAAGGTCTGCCTCGGGCAATTTTCCAAACGCACTTCTGCATTATTTGATCCTCTCCTGTTTTTCAGAGACTCCTCCGAGAGCAAGGATTATGCTTTCAGAGATGGTATTTCAAAGTGTTTCGAGATCTACGCGCATACCTAGATTTTACTTTTAAAGTGCTGTCAAGGGAAGAACGAATTAGGAGAAAGATGAAAGACGAGTAAACTAGAGCATCGGTGTGATATATATATATGAAGCGCCTCACTTACTGCTCCCTGATGACATGAATAATGAGAAAGTTTC